ACCCAAAATACCCCAAATCCCACCCGGCACCCCCCAAAAGCGGCCTGGACCCAGGGCTCGGGGGGGTCCTTTCTATTGGGGGGTCACAGTGAGGGTCACCCCAAAAAAAACCCCAAAAAAATAAAAAAAACACAAAAAAATCCCATCTAAAACACCCAAAATACCCCAAACCCCACCCAAAATACCCCAAATGTCACCTGGACCCACGGCTCGGGGGGGGGTCCTTTCTATCGGGGGGGTTAAAATGAGGGTGACCCAAAAAAAATCCCCAAAAAATAAAAATAAAAACAAAAAATTAAAAAAGACCAAAAAAAATCCCACTGAGAATACCCAAAATACCCCAAATCCCACCCAAAACCCAAAAAAATCCCAGCCAGAAACCCCCAAAAAAACCCAGATCCCAAAACCCCTGAAAGAAACAAAAAAACCCCAAAACCCAAAAAAAACCACAAAAAAACCCCAAAAAACAACAGAAAAAATCCCCCCCAAAACCCCAAAAATTTAAAAAAAAATCCTAAAAATAATTAAAAAAACCCCAAATTCGCCCCTGCCCCACCTGCGCAGCCGCTCCTGATAGTCCAGAACCCCCGAGATGAGGCAGGCGGCGAACCTGGACCAGTACGGACCAGTAAGGACCAGTTCGGACCAGTTAGGACCAGTTTGGATCAGACTGGACCAGTTTAAACCAGTTAAACCAGTTTGGACCAGTTAAAACCAGCATGGGATTGCTGATAAACCAGTATAGACCAGCAGTGATCCCTCCCAGTCCATCCCAGTTTATCTCAGTTCCATTCCCAGTCCATCCCAGTCCCATCCCAGTCCATCCCAGTTTATCCCAGTTCCTCCCAGTTTATCCCAGTCCATCCCAGTATCCCCCAATCCCCTCCCAATCCCTCCCAGTCCATCCCAGTTTGATCCCAGTCCCATCCCAGTCCATCCCAGTCCATCCCAGTATCCCCAGTTCCATTCCCAGTCCATCCCAGTTTGATTCCCGTCCCTCCCAGTATCCCCAGTTCCATTCCCAGTCCCTCCCAGTCCACTCCCAGTTTATCCCAGTCCATTCCCAGTTTGTCCCAGTCCATCCCAGTATCCCCCAATCCCCTCCCAGTCCATCCCAGTTTAACCCAGTTTGATCCCAGTCCATTCCCAGTCCCTCCCAGTCCCCCCAGTTCACCAGAGCTGGCCCCTCCAGTGCTCCCAGTTCAGCCGCGCCGTTCCCAGTCCATCCCAGTTTAACCCAGTTTGATCCCAGTCCCATTCCAGTCCATCCCAGTATCCCCAGTTCCATTCCCAGTCCCATTCCAGTCCCTCCCAGTCCCCCCAGTTCACCAGAGCTGTCCTCTCCAGTGCTCCCAGTTCAGCCGCGCCGTTCCCAATCCATCCCAGTTTATCCCAGTATCCCCAGTTCCATTCCCAGTTTATCCCAGTCTATCCCAGTCCATTCCCAGTCCCCCCAGTTCACCAGAGCTGGCCCCTCCAGTGCTCCCAGTTCAGCCGCGCCGTTCCCAGTCCATCCCAGTTTAACCCAGTGTGATCCCAGTCCATCCCAGTCCCTCCCAGTCCCTCCCAGTCCATTCCCAGTCCCTCTCAGTCC